GGCACCATGCTGCCCTCGCAGGAGGCCTCCAAGCTCTACCACGAGCACTACATGCGGAACTCGCGAGCCATCGGCGTGCTGTGGGCCATCTTCACCATCTGCTTCGCCATCATCAACGTGGTGGTCTTCATCCAGCCCTACTGGGTGGGCGACAGCGTGAGCACCCCCAAGCCTGGCTACTTCGGCCTCTTCCACTACTGCGTGGGCACCGGGCTGGCGGGCCGCGAGCTCACCTGCCGGGGCTCCTTCACCGACTTCAGCACCATCCCGTCCGGCGCCTTCAAGGCGGCCGCCTTCTTCGTGCTGCTGTCCATGGTCCTGACCCTCGGCTGCATCACCTGCTTCGCGCTCTTCTTCTTCTGCAACACCGCCACGGTCTACAAGATCTGCGCCTGGATGCAGCTCCTGGCAGGTAGGGAAGGTGCGCGCGCAGCCCCCAGAGAAAGGCGCTGGAGCGGGGGAGACTCCCTGGAGGAGTCGGAGGAAGACGCTGCTCCTCCGCGTCGCCTCACTCCTTGGCCAGCCCCGGGCAGCGCTTGGGGGAAGCTGTGGTTGAGACTCAATGACCGAGAGACACCTTAGGGTGGGAGCCTGGGACCTGGACACGTGGGCCCGTGCGCATTTGTTGGTGGGTTAGCATTCTGTCAGCGTCCCTGAGGGTCTCCCTTGGCCATCTTTGTGGAGTCGTTGTTCTGAATGTAATAGATGTTCTTAGGTGTAATCAATTTCTGTTATACTGAAACACACACACACACACACACACACACAGCTCACTGTGAGACAGAGAATCTAGAGGTCTGGCTTGGACCTCCAATATAATCGAGTTGGGTGTTCACATTACTTTCTTGAAGCTTGAGTTCCCCATCTGTAAACCATCAGGGATGACCTCAACAGGACAGAGGAAAGTATCTGTGCTGAGTCTCCTAGAAAGGGTGGAGGACGCTGTGTATTGGTGTCCATCCAGTGCATGGCTGGCAGTACCAGGCTGTGGGGGGCTAGGAAGGGGAGGTCTCCACCTGTCCAAGGACGTCCTGGTCCATGCAGGGAGGGTCTCATGCCGTGCCCAATGGGAGTGAGTCTCTGAGATCCTCTGGAATATTTGTCTCAGACTTAGTCATCTCTTCCTCAGATTCAGAGAAGGACCTTTTGGGAATGAGAAATGCTGAGACAGTTTACCAGGATCCATTAGAGTCCCCTGCCCCCGCCCATTTTTCGATTGAGGAATGATTTTGAAGACTCAGCAACCTGGGTATTTGCCTAATTGCAGGCCTGGGGGAAGTGAGGCCAGGTGGGAGGGAGACTGGTAGAGGCCAAGAAACAGTGGAGCTTAGTGGCGCTGTAGTTCAAGTGGTAGAGCGCTCGCCTTGAGTTGAAGAGCTGAGGGACAGCGCCCAGGCCCAGAGTTCAAACCCCACGACCGACAAAAAAAAAAAAAAAAAAAAAACCTATATAGAAACAGTGGAGCTCTCCGGGGATGAGAAGAGAAGACAATATCTGATGATCATGCATCAAAGTGTTTTTTCTTTTAATGTTAAGCACCTCCAAATACTCAACAAGTGTTTAACCCTCCCAAAGAGAGGGAGGTGTTATATCACTTCCTGGCGATTCCACTACTTGAGTACTGCAGGGAATTTGAACATCACTGATGGGAAAGCCTCCATCTTTTCAAGGAGGAATGTGATTTTTGGAAATGGCTTGACATTGCTCAGGGTCACGTGTTGAGAACATGAGAAGTGATCATATTTGGAATTGCCACTTGGGATGAAAGCCAAGGAGGAGAACAAGGTCACAGGACTGATCTGCCTCAGAGGGCCTTTACAAACACGGGGAAGATTTACTGGAAGAACTCTCCAAAATTCTAGAAGAATTACTTTAAGGAAGGAAATATATCTCCAGATGTGAGCATTCTCCTGTCTTGTTTCAGCCTGGCACTGGTGGCTCATGGCTATAATCCTAGATACTAGGAGGCTGAGATCTGAGGATCGTGGTTCAAAGCCAGCTTTGGCAGGAAAGCCTGTGAGACTCTTTTTTTCTTTTTTTTGTCGGTTGTGGGGATTGAACTCTGGGCCTGGGCACTGTCCCTCAGCTCTTCAGCTCAAGGCCAGCACTCTACCACTTGAGCCACAATGCCACTTCTGGCTTTTCCTGCTTGTGTGATGCTGAAGAATCAAACCCAGGGCCTGTGCATGCAAGGCAAGCACTCTACCAGTAAGCCACCTTCCCAGCCCCCAAGAGCCTCTTCTCTCCAATAAACCACTCAGAAAACTGGAAGTCGAGCTGTGGCTCAAGTGGTAGAGTGCTCACCTGAGCTGAAGAGGTGAGGGACAGCTCCGAGTTCAGGCCCAGAGTTCAAGCCCCACAACCAAGCAAAAATAATAATAATGTCTTGTTCCAAATCCATCTCACCCTCCACTCAACTTAGATGTGGGTCTTGTAGAATCTTTGAAGATAGCGCAGAAGGAGATCTGTGGGATATGAGTTACTACTCTCATTTTCAGTTGTACCCAGAGAAATGATATTGTGTGTTTCCAGTCTATTGTTTTTTTTCCTCCTAAAGGCAAGCTGGAAAGAATATATGCTTAGCTAGATACCCTCACCCCCAATTCATCAACTGTAATTTGATGTCTGCAGATGGGATCCTGATCTCTTAGCCTTTAAATTCTCTGTAATCCCTGTGGGTTTGTTTAATCTTGGGATTTGATTAACTGTCCGGTAACCTCCATGTAATCAGCAAAATTCAGGGATCTTAGCAATGACTCCTTCACCTTCCAACTTCTCTCCCTATGTCTTAGAAAGAGGGACCCTGAGCATACTCAGTCACACTGTGATCAGGTCTAATGCCAGGTTCTGCCACCCCTGACTCCGGAATCCACCCTCCCCGGTGTTCCTGCCTCACCCCCCGAGGCTCAGGGGGAAGTTGGCAGAGTTGAGAAGTTTACTGCATTTTGCTCAGAGATATTTGAGCTCTCTGGGAAATGGAATGCCAGAGGCCAGAGTTCTGGGTGGGAAGTTCTTTCCTGACTCTATCTTTGTCTCTCCACTGTGTTCAATAAGACCTTTTGGGTTAGATCTGTTTCCTCCTCTGGGAATGCCAGAACAGTTAGATTACTTGACTCAAAATATCTCTTTCAGCCCTGTGGGGACCCTAGATAGTTTCATTCCAAAAGTGAGCCATCAGTCATCTCCAGAGGAACTGCAGAGCAGCTAAGAGCTTTGTTTGTTTCATACAGAAATCCAAGGGGCCTGTCATATGATTCTTGTTCTTGTGAACTTTGATTCTAAGGAACATTGCACCATTAGGAAAATACAGAGATATTTATATGTCTTCCCCACCCCCTCTTGCCAGTACTGGAGCTTGAACTCAGAGCCTGGGCACTGTCCCTGAACTTCTTTTGCTCAAGGCTAGCACCACTTGAGCCACAGCACCACTTCCTTCTTTTTCTGTTTATGTGGTACTGAGGAATCAAACCCAGGGCCTCATGCATGCTAGGCAAGCACTCTACCACTAAGCCACCTTCCCAGCCTATATATGTCTTTATTTCTTACCTGCTCTTGGATCATCCCTATGTTAGGTGTTATAGTATTGAGCTGCCTAAGACATGCTGAGGGCCTGGCATGCCTGAAGTGGGATTCTGACAAAGCTTGCTGTCCAGTTGGGTCACTATATTTGTCAGCAGTCTTTGCAGAGATAAGTGACAGAAACTCAACTCACACTAGCTTAAATATATTAAAATAAAGAGCCTAGGGTCTCTTTTCTTTTCTTTCTCAGTCATGGGGCTTGAACTCTGGGCGTGGGCACTGTCCCTCAGCTCTTCAGCTCAAGGCTAGCAGTCTACCACTTGAGCCACAGTGCTACTTCCATAGCATAGGGTTTCTTGGCTCATAATAATTTGCAAGTCAGGAGTGTCTGGCTTCAGTCATGGATGGATTCGGATGCTCCAATAATATTATGAAGAATATGGTTCTTTTCCTTTCCTTTTTTTGGTCTGAGACTGGAATTCAAACAGTATCTGATGCTTTTGCTCATTGGCTGATGCTCTACCACCTGAGCCATGCCTGAAACCTCTTATTTCTTTGTGTGTGTTGGGGGGGGGCGGGGAGGGTATGTGCCAGTACTGGAGCTAGAACTCAGGGCCTTTCATTCTCACTCAGCTTTTTCACTCAAGGTTGGCATTATACCATTTGAGCCACAACTCTCCTTCAGGCTTTTTACTGGTTGATTAGAGATAAGAGTCTCTCAGATTTGTCTGTGCAGACTGGCTTCCAACCACAATGCTCAGATCTGCCTTCTGAGTAGCTGGGATTAGAGGCGTGAGCGACAGATACTCACTATCTACTTCTTGGTTCCTCTTTACTGGCTCATTTTAAGTCCACTTCCTTCTTGAAGATGATACATCAGGGCACTGGCAGCCCTGAATTAACATCACTTCAGCTGTGGGGAAAAGTATGATTGTAACCAAAGTTCTAGGACTGATTTTTACTGACCCTGCTTTGGCCAAGTGTCCACATCTTAATGAATCATGAGAACTTTATTGCCTGCGCCATGTGCTCATCCTGGAACAGCACGTGAATTCAGCATGGAGAAAGGTCAAATCCTGCAGAGCAGATCATGCAGGATGACTGTTAGAGGGAGCTGTGGGGGAGCTGCCTGCAGGTGGAAGCCTCCTCCCCCTGGGCAGGCTGAGCAGTGATGCATGCTGGGTTGTTAGTGGTTGGCTGTGACAGGTGGGAGGCTGGGTGGGCAGGAAGAGCACTCTGAATGGAGAGGAGCATCATGGGTGGAAACGCAGAGGTGAAGCCATGTCTGATTCGAATGTGACATCCATATAGAGCCAGGAGAAGAGATTCAGGGGGAACCCTGTATGTCTTGGGCCACATCAAGGAAGTCGAACTTTAAAGTTATTCTGGTACTACTCCACAAGAAAAATGACTAACATTCTGAGCTTTTAATCGATGTATCCTATGGTTCAATCCTCACAATGGTCTTGTGGCCCCAGTAACATTATTCTTATTATAGAGACCAGAAACCTGAGTCTTGAAGAGGAAAACATCCCTTGTTCAAGGTCACAGAGGTGTAAGTGGTGGAGCCAGGGTCGTAACTCGGTCCTGTGACCCCAAGCCCATCAGGAGGGGGGACGTTGAGGACGTGGCAGGATGTTGGAGAGCTGCGGGGACTGCACAGAGCAAGGGCGCTGCAGTCTAGGGCTTCTCAGGATGTCTCTGCTTCACTGTCCTCCCGTGTTCCCGAGAATGTGCCGTGCACTGGCTTCTTGACGTCCTCACGCTCGTTGTCTTCTAACTTTCATCTGTTCACCCGACTTGCTCAAGGTCACACGTCAAGCTGAAACTCAAAGTCCAACTGGATCTCTGAAGCAGAGCCCCAGAAGTAAATAACACAGATGACAAGTGAGA